AATGCACCATTTTTGGAGAATATCACACATTATCTGCTATCACAGCATATTATTTGCCCGAATTTATCAAAATTAAATTGCCGGATAGATGAAGGAGCTTACCTGCAGGATTTTTCAATCCAGCCGAAAGACCGTCTAGAAAAGCCTGCCTTGATGATGTTACTGATTTATCGACCCGAACTTTCGCTTGAGTATGTCCAGCATTCACCCACGTTTCGTCCAAATAGTAAATTTTTCTTTTTTCATCGCGAAACTTCCGAATCTTCCTAAGGTATTCCCTTCTCCACACAACAATTTCTTCTTTCTCTATTAACATACTGTTTTTTCCCCGTTTCAAGAATCGAAAATTAAGTTCCTTCAAAAGTTTTCGGAATGTGGTTCTTTTAAATGATGGAAGATCCTCATCAGCATTAACTAATCTTAATATCTTATCTATTGTAGGTATCTCATTTCGGAAGAAAAAATTATGCACTTTCCTCCTGATGGCAGTTCTGTCAAAGTCATCTACTCCGTCCGTTATCCTTTTTCTTGCAGGATACGATTTTGGCTCAGAAAGTGAGTGAGTGCTCCTATATTCCTTAATGATCCTATAAACACTGGACCGACATACTCCAGAAATATGTGCTACCTTACATATAACTTCGTCCACGACCAAATCGGGTTTTTCTTGAATTTGGTTTTTGTATATATTTAATATTATTTGTTTTTCATTTGCACTTAAATGTAGCTTCTTAGCCCTTTTTTGGGTGGGGTTGCGCTGATGTCAACCACTTCGTCGGCTGTATCTGTGTCAGACATCGTATCTTAGGCAATATATAAACAAAACGTTCCACTCGCGAAAAACGAGTATACGCTACTGAATGCGTAATGCGTATGCAATGCAATCCTGTGCGTGAATTAACTGTTAGATGCCTGTCGTGGCATCTACAATCACGTTTACAAGTCCAAACCTGTGCAGATTCGTAGAGCGCCGACGACTGCTAGTGACCTTGAATTTGTCTGTAGATCGATGTTACTCCAGTCAATTTAGGTTCAAAGTGGATGTTTTCTAAACCAATTTGTTGTTCCCACATCAAAAATATATCGATGATGTTTTGTACTGGGAGCTCATGAAAGATCAAGGTAACTTATTTTAACAGTCATCCTTTTTCTAGTCTCAAGATGACCCGAAAAAGGGTCTGTGGATTCACTAGAAATACACTGCCGAGAATGTTTAGACCTAAAGTGACTGGAGTATATCCGTGGATGCTTTTGAGGGATCTGTTCACGTGCTGATCACTGTTTACGTTTAATGTCTTTCTTCAGCGCCCAGATTATAGATTGTCATAACTTAATAAATAGTAACTATAAACTCGGCGCTTTACGGGCGAGCGAGAGCCGTCGACGTAAGAGGAAGAAACGCGATCGAAAACGGCGGTCAAAGTCGAAAAAACGGTAGATTTTCGTGCTGTTCGACGTTCGCTTTCTATCTCCTCCGAAGATAGAGGAGCTACGAACCGGACGATTTTTGCGTTAGAAAGCCCGGACATCGAACTCAAAGATAGCGTCTTTTTTTATTTCTTTACCCCTTTTCGTTCAAAAGTCTCGATTTTTTTAAATTCCTTGACTACGTACTACTTTCCGATGCATGGCCATGTTTCCGGCTCCGTCTTGGCCTATTACTACTATACGTAAGCAAGACAAACATTATATAGAGATTGAAAAATAAAAATATTGAGCTTAGGAAACGATCCTGACCGTTAGAATTCCCGTCAAATTTCGAAAAAGTAAACTTTTAGCGCCTCAAAGGTACTGATGACAGCCGTTCTTCGGCGTACTTTGTCTTCTTCGATACAGACCTTCGTTACGAATCGAGATAGCTATGATTTTTTTTTCGCAAAACGAAAGACCAAAGTCTCCTGATTAATTTGATATACAACACGTTAGCCGATCGAATTTTTTGATCTCGGCAGATAAACAATAATAATTTATTTCATTGTTGAATAGGGCAGAAGAGTCTATACCATTCCGACATTAAAACAGTGGTGACGGATTAAAAATATATGAACCATGAGACAAAGAACTCATCCAATTTGTGGATTACATTTGTCTACCAAAAAATGGTTTAGCTTTCTTTTAAAGACTCAGTCCAATTGTTATTATTGAGCTCGGTTGAGCTGGTTCGACACAAATTAACATTAAGTTTAAACAAAACACATTATATAGCATTTTCTGCAACTGCTGCTTCCAATACGAAATATTTAGCTATGATAAACGACAAACATTTGAAGGCATAAAATTAAAAAATAGTATTCGTAAACTAGTGCATGAATTTCATTTTTGAGGGATATGCTACCAAAAAATTAGTTGCCTGATTTCTGTTTTCTTTGTTGTTGTTACAATTGACCAACAGTAAGAGGTCATCTCTCAAAATCACAAATGGACAAACTCCTACGATTGAGACAGGTGTACAGGGTGGCTGATATTTAACTGACTGACTGGTTTGTATCTTGAATATTTGTGAAGTGAAGTAAAATACATCCATTTTTTTCATCTTAGTCTTTTATTCAAACTTAGAAATTATGTATGAAAAATAATATCAGACAAATGTCCACCTCTAAAAACCGCGCAAACCTGAGCCCTGTTGATTATATTTTCCATCACTTTTTGGTAGGTTTCAGGAGGAATATTTTCCATCGCCGTAATATTGTCCTTCAGCTGCTCTACAGTATTTGGTTTATTGACATAAACACTATTTTTCAAAAATCCTCATGAAAAAGTCAGCCGTTAAATCCGGTGACCTTGCTGTCCACCCGATATCACCAAATCGAGAAATTAAACGTCTCGGAAATATTGTTTGCAAAAGATTCATTGTTTCCCTTGCTGTGTGATGATGAGTTGCTCGGTCCTGCTGGAACCACATGTTTTGTAGGTAAAATTGAAATGCGTGTATCAAAAATTACGCGTAATTTAGATCAGTCATATATTGGCCACCCTGTATATAAACCTTCAATAGAATCATCAATGCGATGTGGAATGCCAGGTGGTTTGATCTGTACAGCAGTATTTTGAAGCAATTTGTTTTGGAAGTAATTTATAAAAAAGAAAACAGCATCTTTATTATTTAATGAAGAAATATTCAAAGTTAGATCATTATACATACCTGCCGTGTGTACATAGGCTGTTTCAGATTTGGCCCTCACCACTGGGATCTCGGAAGCTGTAAGAGATACGATGTCGCTTAAATGGGAGCAAAGATGCGTATTTAGGTAATCAATAAAATGCTGCTTAGAAAGCTTCGAAATTCTAGGTACTTCCGGAGACATATGCAAAAAAACGAATTTTCCCAAAATCGTCTTAATTTTTTCCTGATTTTAATTTTAGTGGGGAGGTTTCAAAATAAATTGTACACAAGCATCACCACTTTTTCTCCTCTACAAGATGGCATAATTAAAAATTCATTCTGACATTTTGTTTCTTATCCTCTAGCATCAACTTCATTTTTTCTTATGGAGAGGAATAGGCTTGTTAGTTCTGATTTCAAAAATGTATATTATATATATATATATTATAATGAAATATAAACTATATGAAAATATGTTATACCATTTCATTTACGAAAGTTGTAAATTTAATCAAGTAATTGAACTATAAATGGAAACTGTAAAGTAAAACATGACATGGTCAAAGATAAATCCGGTGTTGTCAGGTAGATAATTCTTTTGGGATGAACTCATTCTCCAAAACTTATCGTGAAAGAATTTTAGGTTCAGATTTACTTTTGTTTATACTATATTCATGGTGGGGATATTTATCATCCATTTGAAGCCTGCGTAATATATTTATTATTATTAGTTATGAATAATACTTTTTGAGAGTGCTCCCCGCATGCTGTAAACAGAAGTTGTTCTCAAAACCTGTAAGTTATTACATAGCTGTTTCAATCGTAGTGCCCTACGCAGAATATTATATGATTTAGTTTAGTGATAAACAAGAACGTCAGCTTGAAATTCAAATTTTTTCTAACCTCAAATTGCTTATTTGACCAATTGTCGGTGCATTTGACGTGGTTGCCAGTTACCTAGACAGTATGGCCTAAGACGATGTGTGTACCTACTTATTTCGTACGACTTTTTGAAGTAACTACCAAAACCTGTGAAAACAGTAAATTTCTTTCAGCTCAGTATAAATGCAGCGCTTTTTAAATATCTTTTGCCAGCTTGGCAACACCGCTTCGGAACATACCTGTACAGAATGCAAATTTTTTATTACTGTTATAATATCTTGAAGAGACCCTCTTTCTATTTTCCCGAAATGTCCATATCAGTAGAGCTGAAATGTTAGCCATATATCAAATGCCTTACAGTGATTAAATAGCCAAATAACAAAAACTAAAAAAAAAATATTCGATAGCTTCCGCAAATTTCTAATGGTGTGACTAAGATTTTTGGAACTCTTAATCCACGTTATCTCCTAAATGTCGTATTTAAGTGTTGTTACCTATATATCTTCGAAAATTAGCAAAGTTCAAATAATGTTAGGGTGACCAGCACAAACCAAGATAAATTTAAACTGAATCAGTATGTTACTGAAATCGCACATAATTTGTGACCTTAGGGGTTCTTTATTATGAGTCAATAGATAGTAGTAGTTCCAATACTGAAGCGAAGCGACACTCGTATACGGAACAACCAATGTACAATAGTTTTAGCATACTCGCTTAGTTTAGAATTATTTTGGTTGGTGATGCACTTCTCAGAATGGTCCAAGGAATCCTTTTTAAACATTGAGTGCATTCTTAGAAAATTAGTTTCAAATAACTTAACGCGATTTAAAATGTACTCATTTTTAGTATCAATGAAATAGGATTTCTTGGTAATAAATAACTAAAAATGTATCCAATGAAAAATTGAAGCTAACCAATTTTGTGTCCTAAAAAAATTAGCACAGCGCGCCCATGAAACAGAAAATTATTGCTGTCATAAAATATACGAACATACGGCAATATAACAGAAAGCGATGTTGAAACTACTACAAATTAAACATTCATCAGGATTTAGGATATATAGTACAAATTTCTGGATAAAATGAAATGTTCGTACGTACGTTATGATCTTATTAATTGTTTTCACCGAAGCCATTTGCATTTTAGATTTATTTGATTTCGAGAATAAAAGTTTCGAAGTGTGCTTGCATCTGCTCGGAAATGCATTCTGATTCAGACTTTTGCTTAACGTAACCCCATAGAAAGAAGTCCATCGGTGTTATATCTGGTGATCTAGTAGGCCAAGATATAGGCCCATCACGACCGATTCAACGATTGTTACTTCAGGTGTCCAAATAGTTAACATATGCGCACGATTACGATAATGCGCAGGTACGCCGTCATGTTGAAAGTACATATGCATCCGGGATTGTAGGTTGACATTCTCCAAAAGCAAAGGCAAATGCTCGATCAAAAAATTCAAGCATTCTGTACCTGTTAATCTGTTGTCGAAAAAGGAAGTCCCTATAACTTGTCTGCCAATAACTCCTCCCCAAACATTCAAGCTCCATTTATTTTGAAAATCTATTTGCCTAACCCAGTAAGGGTTTTCCGTCGCATAATAGTGCAAGTTATACCTGTTGACAACACCTATGCTGTTAACAGTTGCCTAATCGCTAAAAAGAACCTTATCCAGGAAAGTAGTATCTTCACTCACTTTATTTAGCATTATTCTACTAAACTCCATTCGAGCTGCTAAATCCTGAGGACGAACGCCTTGGTAATATGGATGGTACCTATGCTTGTGAATAATCCTTTGGACAGAAGTCCTTGTGAATAATACATACATACATATATCAGTTTGCCGTGCACTTAAATGGAGATTATCCTGCAACTTTAATAGAACCTCCAACTCACTAGCCTCATTGGTGACACTTTGATTATTTATACATTTTTTACTATATTCCACTGCTCCACTTGATACAAAACCTTCTCGTAGTGTGGAAAATGTTTCCGGCTTTGGATGTCGCATATTAGGTTACCGTTGCTTGTAAATGCGAGATGCTAGGAAACTATTTCTTTGGGCTTCGCCCAAAACGAACACCATATTCACCATTTCTTCTTTAGAAAAATTCATTTTCAAACACGTTTTTATTATAATGCTCACAAAGCTAATTTTGACAGTTTGTAACTAATCAACAATTTATTTGTTTCCAAGGATGATGCGATATTTTAGGGAATTAAGCCGTTCTATAAAAGACCGAATAAAATAAATAAAATTACCGAAAAAAAATGCCGTAAATGCCCTTATGTGTCTAGTATCAAAAAAAAAACTTATAAAAATTGAATCCAAACTGGCACAAATAAACAGTGTCGTACATTTGAAATTTTATAGAAAAACTACAATTTGCGTTTTTGACCACCCTGTATGAGCAAAAATTAAAATTCAAAGAAGTAACAAATATGATAAAAGCTGAGGTGTGTAAGTTTTTTTTATACAAAATTTAGCACTCCGAAGTTTCTAGACAAAACACCTTATATCTCAGGAGTTTATCACCAAAACCCTATAGTATTTTATATCAATTTTCTTCTTTTGAATTGGTTAATCCAAATATGTAATAAAATTTGAGGCAATCCATTTGAAAAATCACAACTCTGATATGTAGGTCGAAATTTGGACACCCTGTATAATGGCCAATATTTTAGAAATGTGCCCGCAAATGTCATGTTTAACATCTCATAAATAGATTTTCCCACAATGTATTTGTTTTATGAGTAATATTCCGTCCACACATGGATGGGCCACCATATATTTATACAGGGTGACTTTGAAGTTGAGTCATTAATTTTCAAATAATGATTGTAGAAGGAAGATAAACCAAAATATGTGTGTAAAAATAAAAAAAAATAAAAAAAAATGTTACCTTGTTTAATGAAGTATCCTCCCGACAAGTATTTCAGTGCGGACCTGTATTTGATCGTGCGGTCTTGGAGCACCGGCATGCTCTCACCTGTGAGGTCTTAAGTCACCTGATTCACGAGCCCTTTGTACTACATTAACAAAGGCACGAGGGGTTGGTCGCACTCGATTGGGAAACCGATTCGCATAAATCCGTGATGCATCCGGCAGCATTTTGTAAAGACTGCCCCCCCGTAAATAAGAATCACGTCCACAAGTTCAGCATTTTCGTAAACATGTGCCATTTTTCATTTCGTTTGAGTCACGCAACAAACATCACTATTCACCCACGCGTTACCGACTGACGAAAAACAACGTGATAAACGTTTCAAATTCTTTCGCTTTTTTGTTTCCGATGCGATGAACCGATATCCGTTGTTGCCAAACACATAATATTATTATTGAGACAGGGCGGTACTCAAACTTCTAAAGGGCTATAACTTTGTTACTTCAATTTTACCAGAAAAATGTTAAAGGAAAAAAACATTTCTTTTGATCAGATCTACTCACTGTTAAAATAAATGACTCAACTTCGAAGTATATCATAAACTACAAAGCCTTTGCGTCCTTGGTATCGTAGTAATATTGCGTAAAATTTAATCGAAACCTATCAGGCTAAAGGTGGTTATAATATTAGCGGACAGACTAACAGACCGACAGACAGAAAGGCCGACGGAAATGAGTAGCATGCTTTTTCGTGATGTATACAGGGTGGCGCATCGAAAACGAAACAGACGCATTTACTGGCAGCTCAGTTTCTTTTTAAAAAACGCTCAGATCCATCGATTTTATTTTCGAGGAGGACACAAGTTTGGCAAAAAATCAGCCCTCTGGGAGGGGGGTGACACCAACCCTAAAATCTTAAATGGAAAGGGCGGTCGAGTAACACCTTATTTTAAAGGTCTCTCAATTCTCTTTCTAATGATGTAAAATACATGAACTTCAATTCAGTAGATTCGAATATTTATTGGTTTAAAGCTTAAAGTAGACTTTAGGTACATCAGATTAGTTTGTACTACTTTCAGAAGAAATTTGGCTAAAGGAACTTACTTAATAAGTAAATGCCTTTCTTCACTACGCCCATGGTTTGTAAATCATTTTGTTGTTGAAAATAGCTATTGGAGCGTTTTTTTTTTGTGGCAAGAAAGTTATTTCCTGAAGAAAGATAAGGAATTATCTCGTACTTATTTTAAATAGGAATTTAGTACATAGTTTGCGACTGATTTGACCAAACTTTGTTGCTAAAATAACTTGTAACGCTTTATTGCATAAATTAACCATTGTATATTCCACAGCAGAAAGAGTTGAAACTATCGAAATATTTTTCGGATTTAATCAGTGCGCTAATAGAACAGCAGAAATATTTAGTGAGCGACATGAGAACAGTAACGTGCATCGAAAATATGTTCTAGAACTTGTAGCTAAATTTCGGGAAACTGGGTCAGTCGCCAATAAAAAACGCAACATTGAAAATCCCATAAGGAACGAGGCAATAGAAGTGGGGTTTTCGGGCAAGTTTATGTAGATCCTACGTTAAGTACCCGCAAATTGGAGACTGTCTGTGGTGTTAGTCGACGTACTGTCCAACGGATTCTAATAGCCCATAGTTTTCATCCGTATAAAATTCACCTGGTACAAGAACTTAATGAAGACGATTTTGATCGGCGATTACAATTTTGTGAAGATATGAGTGAACGAATTATAAACGATGAACATTTTCTATTCAACACTTGCTTTTCCGACGAATGGTCCTTTTTCTTAAATTCTTAAATGGCGTAGTAAATCGTCATAACTACCGATAATGGTCCGATTCTAATCCCAGAATTTATCATGAGGTCCATACACAGCAGACACAAAAATTAATTGTTTGGGCTGGTATTTTTGGCGATCATTTAGTTGGTCCTTTTTTCTTACCTGGAAATTTGACCGGTGAAATGTATTTGGAATTACTGGAAGACGCCATAGATCCTGCATTAACAGCCATAATTGAAAATCAGAATGATCGGCGGTACATTGCGAATAGGTTGATGTTCCAACAGGATGGTGCCCCATCACATTACGCATTACGTGTTCGACAATATTTAGATCAGACGTTTCCAGATCGATGGATTGGAGGAAGAGGTGCAATTGAATAGCCCCCAAGATCGCCAGATTTATCACCTTTGGTCTTCTTTATGTGGGGTTATTTAAAAAGCAAAATCTATGCTACTCAGCCAACATCATTAGAAGACCTGCGACAAAGAATTGTGAATAAGTGCCTTCAAATTACTCCTCAAATATTGCAAAATGTGCGGCAACGTTTTGAGCAAAATCTTTATTATTGCATGGAGAGTCATGGTGGCCATTTTCAACATTTAATTGCCTAACGGGTCAGTTCATTCTTCATTTTTAAATTACTTTGCTGCCAAATGTATTAATCTCCACTAATGATGATGTATTAGTTTTATTTAAGCTTTAAATCAATAAATCTTCAAAACTACTGAACTGAAGTACATTAATTTTATATCATTTTAAAAGGTATTGAAAGACCTTTAAAATAAGGCATCACTCGACCCCCCTTTCCATTTAAGATTTTGGGGGTGGTGTTACCCTCGCTTAGGGGGCTGCACGTGCTAACGTGCTAACTTGTGTCCCCCTCGAAAACAAAATCGACGTGTCTCAGCGTTTTTCAAAAAAGAGCTGCCAGTAAATGCGTCTGTTTCGTTTTCGATGCGCCACCCTGTATGTCATATGACATTCAAAAACCAAAATATCTCATTTCTGAAAGGTTCAATAATGAGAAATTAGTGGCAGTCATAACAGAGGTTTTTTGTTAATATTTCAAAACTAGTTTAACCGGACATGCTTGATTTTTATGGATACTCCTCAAACAACATAACATCAAATCTCTTTCCAAGCATAAATGAAACGCACAATTGTTAAAAATATCCACAGCTTACACCCAAAGGGTGCGAACTGTCTGTTTGCATAAATTACGTCCACCTCCCGGCCAATTTCTATTATACCCTCAGCCCCTAAGGTTGAAACAGGAAAGGGACTGGTCTTCATTTCGTTAAACCAGCCTTGTCATCATCTATTTTCACGGAGACTTGGCAAATGTCAATTAGGAAAAAGATAATGCGCCAAAGCGGTGGTTACTTTGTTAGGTAATTGAAAGTGAAATTGAATACAAGGGGCTTTTGCCGCTAACAAGATTTTCGTCACGCATTTGAATATGCAAAAGTGTTGTGAAGCAGGTTGACAATATCCTAAGCACTTCGATACTCAGGCTATTTCTATATACGTATACATTCAAAGTGACTTCAGATTCAGTTTCAGCAATATTCGTACGGAAGTTGACATTTGAAGCATTTTATCTTTCAAAATGGCACGGGTATCATGTATCTTGAACAGTGACGTTATACTGGTTTTTTGACATTATGCTAAGCTGTAAGTTGTATGTGGTGATGATAATTACATTGGGTTCTTGTCTCAAATCCCCTTATTTGAGATTCAAAGCTAGAAGTTAGTTGCGCAACCTATTTTTCACTGTACACTGTCGAATTACAAGCCATATACATGCTAACAGTAGTCACACAAAACGCGGCGCGATGATGATTTCCCGTAATTCTCCTCCTTTTCTTAGTTTATAACTTTGAACATAACCTCTTTTCAGAAAGCATAACATAAAAATAACCAGTCGGGCACAGCGAATAGAAATACTTCATTGGCAGCATATTCAGTGATGATTTTCTCACACAGCAAATATCACTGATTTTATACACATGCAGACCAATACACATAATCATCCAGATGCGATCTTGCTATTCTACCAACTTTCTTCTCAGAGGTAAACACTACAGACATGGACCACTCGGCCTCGCAAAACATATCCAACCAATAATGCGTGTAGTTTAGTTGAGTGATTCCTCCACAGATGGACGTTCACAACGATCCGATTGTGCAAACGTGGAATGACTGTTTGCGCGCTAAAAACTACCTAGTTGCAAGATGACATCTTATAGGTTTTTTGTACGTTTTATAGGTTTTCTACATCATACCCGTGCGGGTGACTGAGAAGTGCTTGCTACGCCACTGTGTATTATATTCGCGAATAATTTTGAAATGTACGTTACACAAATCTGTCACTCGTTCTCGCTGATCTGTCGGTCGATGGGTCTGTCAGTCAGTCTGTCTTTCTCTCCGCTATTTCTTGGCACATCTATAACTTGAGAGGTATTGCTCGGATTTTTATATAAGGTCACGACTATTCCAAAGATCAAAAACCTTAGTCTTTGGAAATCGGTCCAGTGGCGGCGCAGCTAGGGGTAGAAATACTCAATCTTTGTTGTTTGATGCTTCAGACGCTCAGAATTAAATTTGTAGTGGTTAAAAGTTGGAAGTTGGGGGTAAAAGGGTGGGAAAGGGTGAACCCCCGATAATCCGGCCCCTGTCTAATCCGGCGCCCCCTGTAATCCGACATGTCTTTGAATATGTATTACATACATACGTAATTGACAGTCCTCGCTAATGTAGATCACACACGTTTGAACAGGTTACAACTTGTACGCGCCACCGCTATCGTGCTCGACGCGTAAGCATTGTTTTACTTAGTTTGAATTTGACTACTGGTGATAGCGGTAGGGCCTAGCGTGCGTTCATTGTTTAGTATTTATTCATTGTGTATTAAGTATAGTACCTAGCAATGTGATCACAAACTCAGAAGCGAAAGCACAAAACATTGACAATTAAAGAAAAATGTGATATTTTAGACCGCGTAAATCGCAATGAAACATTCAGTAGCTTAGCAGGTGAATACGGCGTAGGCCGATCTACAATTTATGACATTAAAAGAAACCACGAGAAGAACAAGAAGTTAGTGTCGACTACTGACTGCGGGCCAGGCAAGAGACAGACACTCAAGAAAGCTGAACATCCAGAAGTGGAAGAAGCTTTGTACATGTGGTTTCTTCAGGAAAGGAAAGAAATAGGCATGCACCAATTTCAGGACCCATGTTGGCCATGAAAATTTTTGTATAAGGAAATAACAAAAGAAGATGATTTTGTGGGCAGCAAAGGATGGCTAGAACATTTTAAAAGTCGTGAAAGCATACGTTTAATGACTAATACAGGAGAGAAACTTTCTAACGATGCCACCTGCATAGATCCCTTTAAATTAAGATTTTTTCAAAAGGTGGACGAATTAAATCTTGCCCCTTACAGGTGTACAATGCAGACGAACCAGGGCTTTTTTGGCGTCTGATGCCTAACAAATCTTTCTTTTCTTGTAACGAAAAATCCGTACCTGGACGAAAAGTAAGTAAAGACCGTGTAACCATACTACCATGTGCTAATGCTGCGGGCACACACGCGCTTAAGATGATGGTCATTGGGAAATCTGATAAACCACGGGCATTCAAAAACATTGATTTGCCTGTACACTATTACGGACAAAAAAGTGCATGGATGACAAAAGACCTTTTCAAAAAGTGGTTTGATGAATGCTTCGTACCTGAAGTTAGAAAATGGTTCAAAGATCGTAATTTTCCTCAAAAAGCGTTGCTGCTTCTTGATAGCGCTCCCGGTCATCGTCTGAAGAAGAACTAACAACTGAGGATAAATGCATCACTGCGATGTTTCTTCCGCCAAATTGCACTGCACTGATTCAACCAATGGACCAGAATATAATTCAGTTTGTCAAGCAAGACTATAAGAAAAAACCTACTTCTGAGAGCCGTATCAAAAGTCCAACCAATAGAAAACACTTTAAAAGAATTTAATATGAAAGACTTGGTTTTTGCTCTTTGTCAGTCGTGGAATGCGTTACCGTCATCAACTATTAAATCGTCTTGGAAAAAGTTATGGCCCGATATAGTCACCACTCCTAGCAACGTTCCACAAATCAGTGTTACTTCGGAAGTTATAGAACAAGTCGCTACTGAAACACAGATAAGTCCGGAAGATTTGGAAATCTGGTGTCGTGGAATGGATAAAGAGGAGAATGTTTTTCATGAAATGTCTGACGAAGAGGTTTCTAATTATACAACAAACAATCAGGAAAATAACGACGACGTGATTGCAACTGCTCCACAAGTCACAGCACAAGACGCAATTAACGCCTTTGAGCTAGGTTTACAATGGGCTGAAGAGAATGGTACATCCTACAACGAATTTTTACTTTTGAGAAGACTCAGGGACAAAGCTCCGTTCTCGCGTTATAACAACCTTAAACAAAAAAAAAATGATGAATATTTCTAAGCTTCATAATTTGATAAATTCATTAATGATCTTGATTAATAATTCTTGATTATTTTGGTACATATGTATGTGCATTTATGCTTAATTTTATAATAAAACGTAAGCTCCCTATTGTTATTTAATTTACTAAATTCGACATACATAAACTATGTATGATTTGTACTTCAAAGTACATACATACATACATATGCATAAGATATAAAATCTTACCATTGGATATGTAATTTGTCGGATTACAAGGTACTCTTTTGTAAAAAATTCCGGACTATAGGGGGTCTTAGGCAGTGCTCTATAGTCCGACAAATTCGAGAGTCCGGCACTGCCCTGCATAATGTTTGTCGGATTACCGGAGGTCCACTGTATCTCAATTTTTTTATTTTAGTATATTTATACGCTCTCAACTCCGGTAATTGTACACAGCTGCATACATATTTCACACAGTATTGGTTTCGCAGTAGATTTGTCTTTAAAACAACGCGCCTCCTTTTGACATCTGGGCTCACCGCCGGGAGTACCGGTTTGATTAACTGTCCTGCTTGTACCGCAGCGGTGCCACAGTCAGTGATGTTCTGGCCACTCAATGTTTAGCAACAGCTTACAGGGAAAAACAGTAATAAAATTTAAATGGAAAGTAACAGATTTCTGTATTGCCATGTTTTTTCATTTCATTAACAGATGGCGCTGTAAATCCTCAAGAAGATATGTCAGACGTCAGAATTTGCCTAGTATAGTCAACAGATGGCGCCACATATCATCAAGAAGACGTTTTTGAGCAAATACGGGTTATTCGGGTTCACAGTACAAGATAATAAAGGAACTCATTTAGATTTATTGTATTATTTGTAATATCTATATCTATAATTTGGATAAAGAAGCGTAATGTAATGATGCCAGATTATCAGTTGTCATTTGTCAATTCTGTTCATGTTCTGTCATCTGCATATCGCTCCCAAACTCATTTTTGTACTCAAGAAGCCTAGTCGGTGTTCTAAATTAATTTGTGATGATCGACGTTTAACCACAAAAGCACACTCACAAGAGCTTGGTTCGTGTGCCTCAGGGAAATATCTTAAAGTCGTTCCGATTCTGAATTCTGAGAATAGCCAATCGGAAAGTTGTGCTGCAACCACGAGATTCCACTGCGCAGAATCAAAACAGCTCTAAGATAATTCTATTGTTGAATCCGAACTAGGCTAATAACTGATTGTGATCTTATCCACTTTTCGTGAATGAGAGGTTTTCCATTATCAAGAATAATAGTGGAACATTTTCAAGTATAGGGTCGTCCAATAGGGACGCAGGAAAGTAAACGTCAATTTGACATAGACGCCATCTTTGTTTTCTGTCACCGACATGTCATTTCGTTAGTTGAATGTTTACTATTGATCGCTATGGAGTCGTATTCGATTGAAGACCGCATTAAAGTTATTCAATAGCACTACAAAAATGGTGCAAAAATAAAAAACACGTTTCGCGCGCTTCGTGAACATGTCGGTCGCAACCACCGCCCGAACGAAACAACCATCGGTCGTCTGGTGCGTAAATTCGAGGCAACAGGTTCTGTGGCAAATCTGCCAGGCTCTGGCCGGCCAAGGAGCGTTTGCACACCGGAAAATATTGCTGTTGTGAAGGAGAGTGTGAGAGACGATCCGAAACAATCAACAACGCGTCGATCCCAAGAATTGGGCATTTCGAGAACCAGTTTGCTCCGCATTCTCCACAAGGATTTGAATGTACACGCCTACAAGATCCAATTGACGCAAGAGCTGCGTCGGGCCGACCATTTTTCGCGCCGAACGTTCTCAGATTGGCTCCTTGAACACCGCCAAATTGATGCCAATTTTTCATCAAAAATCATGTTCAGCGACGAAGCGCATTTCACTTTGAATGGGACGGTAAACAAGCAAAACTGCCGCATCTGGGCGAACGAAAATCCCCGTGAGTATCAAGAGCAAAAGTGACTGTGTGGTGTGCATTGTGTTCAAAACGCATCATCGGACCTTACTTTTTCGAAAATGCGGCCGGGGACGCCGATACCGTCAATTCTGAGCGATATCACGTGATGCTAGAGGACCATTTTTTGCCGCAACTTGAAGGAATGGATATGGACGATGTTTATTTCCAACAAGACGGTGCAACATGCCACACAACCAACGTCAATATTCATCGATTACAGTCCTTCTTCAGTGATCGCGTGATTTCGCGCAGAGGAAATGTGCCATGGCCACCACGATCGTGCGATTTGACTCCCTTGGACTCCTTTTTATCAGGATATTTGAAAACCAAAGTCTACGTCAACAAACCAACCACCCTCCAAAAACTCAAAAACAACATCATTGCCGAGATAAATGCCATAGAACCGACCATGTTGCAAAATGTCATTGAAAATTTCGACCATCGCGTGGACGTCTGTAAATCCAGTCATGGTGAAAATTTGAGCGATATTATTTTTCATACATAAATGGTATAAATGAACCTTCAAAATAAAGTACCCAACTTGATTTGAATATCAATCTTTCTTGTTTTAATATGCGTTTACTTTCCTGCGTCCTTTTTGGACAACCCCATATAACCTTATTTGTACATGCAGCTATAGACCACAAATGAAAGGGTTCATTTTTTTTAATTTATAAACAAAATGCAATATCTCAAAAACGGTGACACTTTTATATAGGTAAGTCTTTGTTATTTGAAAGGTCCGTCCAAAGCCTACCTTCTCCTTAAGTTTGTCGTGGTACTTATTGTACACCCTGTATAGAAGCTGCATCGTATTATAGAATACCGCATTCAGTCAATCAACTACCACTTAGTAGACTTAAAGGACAAATCAAGGAGCTCATATCTAATGACGAGCTTTCTATATAACTGTAATCAGGCTGTTGTTTTTTTTACTAAACTCTTATCAGCAATTGGTGCCCTGGATAGGGAGTAAGAGCAGACGCTAGCTGAATCTTCGCCAGGAAAATAAAACGCATTTTATCGTTATTATAATTATTATTATTACTATTATTATTATTAATGATTGCGTGATGTAAGCTAGGAGGTCCCCTGAGGATCGCTGGTGTCGGAAAAAATTCATCGTGTTTCTAAAGAATTTTTTTCTCAGCATGTAGACGTGGTCTCGGTAGATAACGAACGAAAGCTGAGAAACTCTATCCAGTATACAGTCTATTGAATAAAAACAACTCAAAGTGTCATCTATCACCAGAATCGACCACTGCGGAAGTAAAAACAGCTAGATGTCCGTTGGAACAGCCGGGTCACCACTGGGCCGCTCGAGAACAAGCCTACACAATGCTGAGGAGTTGCCAAATAACACGAAACATCTGTCCATAATTAGGCGCTAGATTGCCAGTGTTTAATATTTGGGGTAACGTACTCTGTATGTGGAGAATACAGGTACTCTTCTCTCTACTTCCTTATCTATCGCCTTCTGAATATCAGGCAATTTTGACTGACGAGGGAATATTCCCGCTTTGATTGCTATAGTTGGAGGATATCAAGGATAGCGGAATAACGACCGGTTAAGTTAGCACTTCCATTGAAACTTCTGGAATATATAGCGTTTTAAGTATATGCAGTTAAAGCGTTGCGACGTGAAGATTCGGAGAAGCCGTAAAATCGAAGCGGGTTTGAATATGTTCCGATGAAGCGGGAATAAAGAGATATTTTCAGGAGGAATCGCTTAGCTCCCTGTTTGAACTGTAAATTAGTTTGAAGAATTACTGGGGCCTTCAAGCTGACGGCCGGCCCAATGGTTTATATACGATATCCCAATTATACCGGGTGTGGCAAGTTTCGACAAAATTTCGGGGACAATAAGTAACGGGATACTGAACTTTCAGTCGCTATTACAACTATATGTTTAGGTTTGAGGCTATAATTTTTATTTTGAGATGAGCTAAATGGTTAGTTTTAGCAATGGTTATGTCACTTTTTAACAGAGCTAATCAGAAATCAACGCAAAAAATCTTAAATTCATTTTTTCGTAAAAAGTCTCTTCCATCCCTCAACTTTGGAGAGCGGTAACAAAAATTGAGCTTGTATTTCATTATTCATTTTATTGTAAAGGCTATTTTAATCCATGAAGAAGAAGCCTTATAATTTAAGCTTGATAGGATAAGACATTTTTCACAAAAAAATCAGTTTAAGATTTTTACGTTGATTTCTAATAAGCTCTGTTAAAAAGTGACATAACCATTCTTAAAGCTAACCATTTAGCTCATCCCAGAAAAAGTCACAGCAATAGTTGTAATTGCGATTGAAAGTTCATTATTCCGGTTTTTTCTAAATTTCATAAAATTGCAAATATCTCCTGAATTACAAAATTTCGGACCACACATATAGGGATTCATTCGATTGCTTTTCAGGAACTCTATCATCTGACTTCCATTGATCCACTATTAACTTTACACCCCGTATAAAAATATATTGATTCTGTAAACATTTAAAGCTAAAAGTGTCTGACTTCCTAAAAAAATGATTGTGAACTATTGTAGAGCACTGGCAATATTTCATTAGCTCTAGTCCGTCCCTGAAGACCTAATTGAGTTGTTTGTAAGGACATATTTATGCGGACCCAAACGGTCACCACTCCAAATTTCGTTAAATCACGCATTATCTTTAAAAAGTTGTTTGAAAAACAGTTTTCCAGTGGAGGGAGAGAATACTCCAGGGTAAGGTTTCCTGCAACTACGTAGGTGAACATTCCCTCTTTCGCCATTTTAAATTTGTTGTTAGTTTTTGGAAAAACTAGAAGTGGCCATAAATATTTGCTGTATCTGTAACGAACACTATCAACCATGCTATCAATGTATGGTCTGGAATGAATATGAATGAATAAATAAGAAAAAAATGTGCATTTGACAGGGCCAAAACGTATGTCCTGCTATAACATCCAATCCAAACTGGCAAACCGTGTTTCCACATCAGCATAAAACACCCCGGTAGGCACGCGTTTGTAGTGTTTTAAGGTAAGATTAGGTTGTTGGCTGTGGATAATATTTTGAATCGTTAATTCGTCCTCACTCATAAATGTCCCTACTATAATTCTAAAATGGCGTTATCAGCTTTTTGGTTCTCTACCAAAATTAACAGAGCAGGACCGGTTATTTCATTATTCAGATTGTAAGCGATATGTTTTCAAAACGCTTAGCTTATCTTGTCATACGGCAAAAGCGTTAACTTTTTGGTTTAGGTATTCGCGTTGCTGTGCGTACGCTTTAACCCTCCGGCGGGCGCACCTTGTCAACTCTCTTGAGAGGGCGCACTGCGGCTTTTGCACCGCATTCAGAATTTTGACCTTTATAGTTTAGTTTTTAAAAAAAATACATTTATATTAAAAATATTGCTGGTTATTATATTTGAAACGTTTTATTGAAATAAAATATAGTAAAATGAAAACACTGAAAACAACTTAAATTATCTGGTTAATTAATATCCATATTTTCATTCACATTAACATCACACTCATTACATGTTATACTTATACTGCTGTGCTTCTTGCAAGCATTTCTTTTACATATCTTACATGTAGATTTTGTTCTATTGTTTTTTTGTTTTCCACAAAGAAAACAAATACCAGGTTTTACAGTAGTGGGTTCCATCTCATTGTTTCTCTGAGATTTTTCCAAATATGTAAGCAGAAATATCTTTAGGCAGCGTTTTAATTGAACTTCTTTCTTCTAAATGCTCTTTCATAAGATCTGACGAAAGTTTTTTCAAAAATAATCTTCGTCGGTCCTTATTTTGAACATCGTTGAACATAAAAACAACTCGGGCATTTATACCAGCAATATCAAGATTTCGATAAAATAAAGAAAGGGGCCAACGTCTCGTAATTCTTGATGTACTGTAGGATGCGCACATCTGGTCTACAGTATCGACACCACCCTTTGTGGCGTTGTAGTCTATAAATTTACCACCGGCTTCTTGGTAACTTCAATTACGTCACTGGTATTGTGAAATGTTGAAAGGAAAATCACAGCTTTGCTTCTTTTTGGCACAGTTGAAACCAAATAACAATCATATTGAAAGCCGAAAATGCTCGAATTAATATCTCTATCTTTACGAGCCAAGAATTGAAAAGGTATTTCTCTTTTATTTTTCTTCAATATTCCAAGAAAAGTCATTCCCTTTTGTAGGAGGTATTCCGCCAATGGAAAGCTACTGTAATAATTATCAGTAGTAAGATTCCTTTTTGAAGCCTCAATCGGAACTACTAATCTTTTGACAATGTCATCTGGTTTGTTGGACTTCAAGTAAGGACCTGGCGTTTGTTTTCCGCAATAGACTTCGAAGTTATATGTGTAAAATGTCTTGGCATCACATAGTGCATAATATATTTTAAGTCCATATTTGGCAGGCTTGTTGAGAATATATTGAACAAAGCAACACCGTCCTCAAAATGGATGTAGCATTTCGTCGATTGTCACGAAATCACTTACAATGAAATTAGGAATGCAGTTACTCACAAATGCTTCATGAAAGTAACGAATTGGTGCTAACTTGTCACTTGACTTCCTCTGTTCTCTAGAATTCAAGTCATCAAATCTAAGGGCTCGAAGAAGAAACTTGAATCTTTTGTAGCTGAATAATGCACGTAAAATGATGTGACCATCTTCGGGATCCCATAATTCGCAACAGTTTGTGTGCCTTCCTTATTTTCTGCCGACAAAATATAGAGCACCAAACAAAGCTCTGATCTTAATTCTTCTATCACGGCAATCGCTGGCCCTAGAATATTCAACATCAGACCTCTTTTTTTGAATATATATGTTAGTATTTGTAACAATATCTTCGATCATATCTTCTGTGATAAATACATTGGAAGCATCTATTTCTTTGGGAGTATTTTTAGCGGCTGCTCTGGGACCTGGTAGCAATTTGATGATATTTTTTGATGCAGTTTTCGCAGAAGGTAGAGGAGTACTTTTCCAAATCGTCTCTTGATCTTTTCCTATAAAGAACTGGTCATCATCTTGCCGTTGGAAGACGTCTCCCAAGTTCATATCACTGTCACATTCAGATTGTTCAGAATCGCTGCTATATTGGTCTTCTTCCACTATCTCATCTGATTCGTATTCCGACTCACTTGGATCATCTTCTTCAGCCCTTTCCTGTTCAAATTCTTTCATTGTTTGCTTTTTGCGGCTGACGCGCCCTACCGAGGGTTATGTTTAATCCGCCTGGCATATCTTGGCAACGGTGCTTTTTTCAATGTTACCGATATACTCTCGATTGAGGGAGATGACCAGCTAAGATTTCTGCCTACGTAAAGATGGTAGCTTCCACTAAAAAAGAAGCGCAGAGGGTATATAGAAAAATAATGCCATATAAGCATATGTATACTACATTAACTGGAGGATGGTTATATTTGTTTATTGACATTATGTTAGGTAACTAACTAGAGAACCGATTATTTTATAATAAAAACATCAGTGTCTCAGTACTATTGTATCTATTTTTTGTCTGTCTTGCAAGTCCAAGTAGTTCATTATTGTTACTTGCTTTTGCTCGATTACTTATAACGTGCAATCTATAAAGCACTGGAAAAGGTGGTAACAGCATTTCCTCCAAATTTTGCACATCCTCTTTTCTTAGACGCCATAGGTTTACAATTCTTTTTACAAACTCTGAGAATTCATAGAGGTCATCGGCCTCAAATCTTTGCCTCTCCAAGTTTTCAATATTTCTGGTTAAACTAACGTTCTAATTAACTGGCTCGCCACTAGGTACTGGAAACGGGTTCAAAAACTGCCACAACATCGTATCAATAACACCTAACACCCTAGATCTTGATATAAACTGGTCGCGATGAGCAAAACACCAACCACCTAGCAGTCGTTGTTAAGCGATTATCAAAAACGCTAAGCGTGAGACAAATGGCAATAACAAGCATATCAAAATCAACTGCAAATGTCATATTCGCTGAACTGCTTGTACCATTTTGAATAACAAGAATACCGGCCCACTATACTACTATTCGTCATTATTCGTCAGGGCGGTCCGGTGGACCTTTGCTCTTAGTTAAAAGTCTCGTCGGTGTGTGAATCTGTCAGGTCTGGCTACCCAGATATCAAACATGTTTAAGGGGAAAAGGTAAAGAAGGAAAGAAAGGAAGGAAGAAATAGAGCAAAGAAAAGAAGTAATATTGCATTGACTACTCGAATTATTTTGTGACTCCAAAAAATAATTTTGATCGGTTTTGTATACTGATATAATTTTGACTGGTCTGAATTCACAATTTAATTTTGATCACAGTGCGAGGCGCGGCCTGGAATGTTTGCGAACTTGCTCGACTGTGTAGTCTACTGAATCACGCAACAGAGTGTTGCTGTGCGATTATAACGCCACTGCGCCTGTTGTTTTACGTAATCCCTTATATATAGCATATCAAGATCTCTGTGAATAGTCTCTTTTGACATGTACCAAGGGGCGTTAGTAATTGTGCGTAGGGTTCTGTTTTGGAGGACTTGCAGTCTCTGCATGTGCGTCTTGGCAAGAAAACACCAAGCCGCGCATGCGTAGGTGATTGCGGGTCTTTGACCATTTTATACAACCGAATCTTGTTGATCAAACTTAATTTTCAATTTCTGCACAACAGAGGATAAAGCTGCCGAAAGGTAATTTGGAATTTTGTTTTCAAAGTATCAGTATGTTTCTGCCAGGTCAACCACTTGTCAATGATGACTTCAAGATACCTGACAGATGATAAATGCAGGTTGTCTATTGTACGTAGCCATTCAATGCCTGCGGAAAGATCGCCTGCAATTCCTGAGTTGCGCTAATCAGGGGACTTATTATTTGTTGAAGGGACCTAAGCGCAGTTGCTAGGTCCACATTCTGCGTGTTCAAAGTGGGTTGAACAAAGGGACAGCCGAAGATGTTGAGACGGCTGCTTCCGCGTATGACACTGTCCAATAAGTCTAGAGTTCTTTTGAACTTCAACTCTGGTTGCTAAACCCAGCAGCTCATGTTCATTGAACAGCTGCTGGGACTTTTCAATCTTGGGTAGTATTACGACCACCAAAGGCATGGGTGCGCCGCCACTGCGTTTGAGTCGGATAGTGTGGAGAGGAGTATATCCCCTCTCTTCTAATTCCCCTTTGACCTCCTGTTCCGAAAACATTGCGGGTATGCCTCTGACTACAGCGTGAATATTTCGTTCTGAAGTAAGAGGGAACGTATGATGGGGCACGTGCTCCTTCCTGAACAGGCGAACGATTCTTCGGTAGTCATCCTCAGTTTTCGGCAAAATCCTGATTCCCGCATCAACGGCAACAGCGCGCTCTATTTTAATGCCTAAGCTTATAAAGGTGTAGTTTAGATGTCGCCACTTGGTCGCATCACGCAAAATAATGGACGTGGTTCGCCTCTGGCGGGGTGCTGTGCTGGTCAACTCACCAGCAATGTGAGATTGTTGAGATAATGCACCGTCAGTCGATGCAGTGGCCAAAAATAGGACAGGTAGCTGAAGAAGTTGATACGTTTAATGAGGCAGAAGGGTTTGAGGGGACTGTCAACTTGAATTTTGATTTTGCTTTTGGAAGAGGTGGAAAGTCATCCATCTTGTCGGTTTTGTTCGTTTTGTCGATGCGTCTTTTCCTAGACTTGGCCTGGATGAATCCGTTATTCTGTATTTCATCGTCGGTCGATGTCACGTCAGTTAAATTTTCAAGAGGTCTTTTTAAATTGACAGCCTTGTCAGATTTAGAATCAAAATTTGCATTATTGATTAACTGTGTTACCTGGGTGGTCAGGCAGTCTATTTTACTGTTTTGGTCCCTAACTGTCTCAGCTCCTTTATTTGCTGGGCCTGGCTTTCGATGATCAGGGTCTGGCGCTAGATGGTTCCGTCCTTTTCGTCTGCTACAGCTGGTGTCATGAATTCCTTTGATTTCTTGGTAATTTCTGTTCTCTCCTTCTAGGTGGGTCCATTCATCATCGGGGACGCTGGGAGATCATTACTTTGACCTCCACAGTCCATCTCCATGTTTTTAAATCGGATTTTCTATTGAAAAACTTGAAGACTTTCACGAGCAAAAATATGACGTATTGTCAATTATCCCTTATACAGGGCGAATTTTCAGATTGCTTTGCGGAGTCGAGTATACCGGCCCCTGAAACAGTTTGTTTTAGCGATATCAAACAAAAGTACATTTTATGCAATGTTGCAAGGTTAGTGCGTCCTTGGCGATTTTAATGAGTTAGTTGTTTTCCACGAACACAATCAAGCGAGTTCCAGTAGCGTTCTTTTATAGCGACATGTGGCATTATTTTTTGTATTCTATGTGCATACGAGATTGTATGCTCGTTTTCGTACAGACCAAGCTTTCAATTGGATGTTAATCAATGACCGTACTGACGAACCCCATGAAAATGATACAAACCGTGTACAGTTACAAATATTTTAGAAAATTCGAAGTTGCCAAAAAATCTGAGAGGAATGGAAGAATATCATTTCAATACCTTGGCCCTCCTTTATGTCTATGTGCACTTCATTTTTCAGCGGCTCATTTTTCCAACTTAATGAATGTTATTTCATCCCTCCACGTTAAGGGATTTAATGCCATCCTCAAAGAGGTGCATTTACTTAGCTGCAAAGAGTACGGCATTAATGTTATGAGTGGCTAAATGAGGCGATATTAAAACTGGCTAAGAGATCGTCTTATTATGAAAGGAAATATGTCATAATTGCTACATGCAGCAAAAGAAGAACGACAAACCTTATATTTTATTATGTCATTGATATTGGAGAATTTGTATAATGTCGATGTAACGATGACTGTCAAAATCTGATGCCAAGGTCGCGTGCAAGATGACCCGGGATCACTGTAAAGGGGAAGCTTAACAACCTCTATAGAGGACACATGCATTTAGGTACTCTTCTACCACTAACGTAACATATTGTATACTGAATGATTGTTGAAATCTATTTGCAATTACTTCTATTCACAAGCTTTATGAAGCCGGCAATTATATTTAATATTGGTTGCTATACCGATAATCTCTTGTTCGCACTCTATTCTATCATTAAATTATATACAATGCTCTTCAAATAGATCCCCAGCTCTTGAACCGGTCAGGGTAGGTAGTTGTGAAATAGATGCATGAATACTATATTTCAACGTAAAAGCTTCAGTCATGTGATGCCTCATTTTAAAGCCCCTCATTAGTGCTTTATGACCCTACACCATACATTCACGACCTCTCAAAATGGAGGCCTGGCGGGCGTTCACTGGATCGCTTATAACTCAATAAGTAATTATCAAAAGAGTCCATATGAATGTGCAATAAGACATTGAACATTCCAATTGAAAAATCTTTGAATTTTGACAAGTTTTTCAATGAAGTACTTCATATTCTATAAAATATTTCGGGCAACAGATTGATGCAGCATCAATAAAATTTCTTATAAGATTAGCGTATGTTTACTCGATATTGCAAATGTTTGAAAAAGGCATTCCCTAAACATCAGTCCTAGTAAGTATAATATCATTGTATTTTCTCCTACAAAGCTTACAGGATGTTGCTAATTTGATGTGAATGATCTTTGATAGCTTTAGTATCGAGGGCTAGGAATCTGGGCGTCATTATAGGTAGAAAAATCCGCTTTACTCAGCATATAAATGTCACTATTAAATCAACATATGCATATCTAAAATTATTATATTCGAATCGATATATCCTAAACTCTAAAACTTGTAGAGAGTTGTTTTATCACAGATATTACTTAATATATTTACTTCCGATCTTGCACCCTATTTTTTCTAATTCCAATATTTAAGAATATTGCATAAACATAAACTATTATTTTATGTTAAAATATATTTAGAGTGGTCATTAAAGTTGAAAAATACTTATAGTGTAGCCTATTAATGCAGTATCTCGCAAACCATCCACCTGAACAAGCGGCTAACGTCATACCCATGGCGACATGTATGTACATAAAAATACGTACCTGCTTAATTAATCCGATTAACATTTCAAAAAATCTGATGTACTTGAAACACAGCTTAGGCTATATTTTGGAGTAACAAAAAAGAGATAATAAGAAATGTGAGTTTGCCCAAATCTTGGTTTGACATGTTCACTTCCAGTTTAGCACCCTAACTTTTTTTAATTTTAAATTTGGTGTCCTCGTCAAAAAGTACAAAACATTTCCTACTATATACAGGGCGGCGCATCGAAAACGAAACAGATGCATTTACTGGCAGCTCAGTTTTTTTTTTGGAAAATCGCTCAGACCCTTCGATTTTGCTCGGGGGGGACACAAGTTTGATAAAAAATCACGTTAACCCGTGCAGCCCCCTGGGCGGGGGTGACACCAACCCTCAAATCTTAAATGGAAAGGGGGTCGAGTGCTACCTTATTTTGAAGGTCCTTCAATTCCCTTTATAATGATGTAAAATACCTGAGATTTAGTTCAGTGGTTTTGAAGATTTATTGATTTAAAGCTTAAAGTAGACTTTAATAGGTACATCAGATTCGTTTGTACTACTTTCATAAGAAATTTGACTAAAAGAATTTACTTAATAAGTAAATGCTTTTCCTCACTACGCCCATGGTTTGTTTATCATTTTGTTGTTGAAAATAGCTATTGTAGCGGTTTTTTGTGTCAAAAAAGTTATTTCTTGAAGAAAGATAAGGAAACATCTCGTACTTATTCTAAATAGGAATTTAGTACATAGTTTGCGATTGATTTGACGAAACTTCGTTGCTAAAATAACTTGTAACGCTTTATTACATGAATTAACCAAGGTATATTCCACAGCAGAAAGAGTTGAAATTATGGAAATATTTTTCGGAAATAATCAGGGCGCTAATAGAACAGCAGAAATATTTAATGAGCGACATAAGAACAGTAACGTGCATCGAAAATATGTTCTAGAAGTTGTAGCTAAATTTCCGGAAACTGGGTCAGTCGCCAATAAAAAACGCATCATTGAAAATCCCTTAACGGACGAAGCAATACAGGTGGGGGTTTTAGGTCAAGTTTATGTAGATCCTACGTTAAGTACCCGCAAATTGGAGACTATATGTGGTGTTAGTCGACGTACTGTCGGACGGATTCTAAAGGCCCATAGTTTTCATCCGTATAAAATTCACGTGCTACAAGAACTAAATGAAGACGATTTTGATTGGCGATTACAATTTTGTGAAGATATGAGTGAACGAATTATAAACGATGAACATTTTCTATTCAACACTTGCTTTTCCGACGAATGTTCCCTTTTCTTAAATGGCGTAGTAAATCGTCATAACTGCCGATATTGGTCCGATTCTAATCCCACAATTTATCATGAGGTTCATACACAGCAGCCACAAAAATTAAATGTTTGGACTGTTATTTTTGGCGATCATTTAGTTGGTCCTTTTTTCTTACCTGGAAATTTGACCGGTGAAATGTATTTGGAATTACTGGAAGACGCCATAGATCCTGCATTAACAGCCATAATTGAATGATCGGCGGTACATTGTGAATAGGTTGATGTTCCAACAGGATGGTGCCCCACCACATTACGCATTACGTGTTCGACAATATTTAGATCAGACCTTTCCAGATCGATGGATTGGTAGAAGAGGTGCCATTGAATGGCCCCCAAGATTGCCAGATTTATTACCTTTGGATTTCTTTATGTGGATCAGTTAAAAAGAAAAACTATGCTACTCAGCCAACATCATTAGAAGACCTGCGACAAAGAATTGTGAATGAGTGCCTTCAAATTACTCCTCATATATTGGAAAATGTGCGTCAACGTTTTGAGCAAAATCTTTATTATTGCATGGAGAGTCATGGTGGCCATTTTCAACATTTACTTGCCTAACGGGTCAGTTCATTCTTCATTTTTAAATTACTTTGCTGCCAAATGTATTGATCTCCACTAATGATGAGGTTTTAGTTTTATTTAAGCTTTAAATCAATAAATCTTCAAAACTACTGAAGTGAAGTCATTGATTTTATTTTATATCACTATAAAGGGAATTGAAAGACCCTTAAAAATGAGGTATCACTCGACCCCCCTTACCATTTAAGATTTTGGGGGTGGTGTCACCCCCGCTTAGGGGGCTGCACGTGCTAACGTGATTTTTTGCCAAACTTGTGTCGCCCTCGAAAACAAAATCGACGGGTCTGAGCGTTTTTCAAAAAAAAACTGAGCTGCCAG